GTAAGGGCCAATTGGAAATTTGGCCAGGACACCGGGGTTATACCCCTACTTTTTTCGAGAAGCGCCCTGGGATTTTTAATGACTACAGAGAGTCAGGACCTCGGTTTTACGTTTCATCCGAAGGACGGCGCCTGTTTTACAGTATAGTGTCCCCGTCACTATACTGGGGCATTAGGACACACATGGACCGCAGGGTGAGCGCCCCCTGCTGGCCCCACTAACACCTCTTAGAAAGAATCAGCACTGATGAATGCATTTCAAACCACAATAAAAAGTAAAATGTACACAGTAAATTATAAAAAACACTAAATTACATCACAAAAAACAAATTTTCCAGGTATGCGCAATGCCATATTCAGCGATTCAGTATAAGGCAAAAAAAACCTCCGGTGATGTCAACAGGCCCTAAGACACTGTAAATAAGCGGGCTTGTGAATACGCTTATTTTAATCCAATAGAAATATTGCTCTCGATTTCGAGACTCTGCATGCAGATCACATTGGAACATTTCTGCAGTGAAATGTCTGCTGCACAACCTGTACTTATTCGCTCGTACATCACATTGCATTAGTTCTTACAGTGAGTCGTGAGCAGGAAGGGCCCCATCTCATGGGAACTCTTGCTCTCGCCCGTGCCGAACCCAGCAGTTTGCGACAACATGGCGACTTACATTACTTTTACAAAGTTCATGATTTTGCGCTTAATTTGGAATTTGTAATTTTTTTTTCTATAATATTAATTCATTGACCTCGTTACCAAGATTTAATAACCAGTCTCAGAAATTGGAACTGAGTGGATAGCCTTCATCATGCATTGGTTTTGTAATCTGCGTCTGGTGGGTGGTCTGAGGTTTCGATTTAATCCAGACCTTTATCTCTGGAGGTGGTGTGTGAGGGCCATTGGGTGCTCTCTGATGTTCTTGCTGCGAGTGGGAAAGGGAGATTAAAGAACCCCTGTGCCGGTGCTCACCTGTAGCACAGGACTGTTCTGCGCACTGGGGAACGAAGTGGGATGGTTTAGCCACAGCACAAGATCCCTGTTGGACAGGAACTTGGATTTGGCCTTAGGCTCTTCCTCTTCCACAGACCACAAGCGTTGCAGATATAGCCGGTAAGAAGACTTCAGAGACAAAAAAAGAGCTAACCATCTGGAACAGACAAAAGGATGTCAGACAGTGGCACATAAAAAATACAACCCGCACACAAACAAAGCAAAGTCACTGGGGTTATCTTGGACTCACCGGACTACAGTTCCTTGAAGCATCATGTTAGACATTTCAGCTGGAGACACGTCTATAAAACGCAGGAAGGAAAAACAGCTGCTCTCATCATTACCTGTTGATGGAAATGCAGATCCTCTTTTACTGTCAAGTATGGTAATTATTCAAGGGGATTTGTTTATGGAACTTTCCATAACACATTTCTCAACATTGGAAATACCATCAAATCTAAGCCCAAAGACATTAGAACTGATTAAATGGCCTTGTTTTCCCTGGTGCCAACCATGTGTTTTGAAAATATGTAAATAAAGTAAGAAAATTCAAATTTACAGGCTGTGCGCAAAGAATTGGAATCACTGTTTTATCAATATTTGAGTATTTTCAAAGTTTTTGTTATTAACAAAAGCCTTAAAAAAACTAGGCATGGTCATAATATACATACTTAAATTACTATTGACATTTTAAGACCAGGCAAGTGAGCTATATCAGTTAGCAACTTACCTTTTCTGTGAAATAAGGACTGATGAATGTGCTGTGGAGAAAATGGTGACAACGGGACCTGTAGCAGCCTGCAAATCAAACAGAAGCATTAGCACAGGGAAACAAAATACTTTCCTTTTTTCCTGTGTCAACAGAGCTCTTCTGTATCAGTGAGAATGAGTTAGAAAGGTGGACTTGTCTTGGGATAACAACATCTTTGGTCTCAAAAATAATCTCATTCTCCTTTTATTTACACCTAAAATGGCACTGAGATGTGGTAAAAGCACATTCCTTCTGGTTTCTACAAAACACTCAGACAAACAGGAAAACAGCCTGAGTGCTACGCATTACCACACTTTAAACACACTCTCTGATGCTCTTTCATTTTAAACAAATGTTGGAGGTAGCCATGCAGAAAGCAATCACATCAAACATAAAGGGTTAGCAATTACACTTTTAGACAAAGATAAGTGGCTGAGGCTTGATTAAAATACCGGACATCAGAACATGAAAAAATAAGGACCTAACCTAATTCAAAACAAAAGCCAATCTGACAAAAATAAATAACCTTCCAGAGATTATTAATGTTCTCTAGAGACGGGCTCGTCTCTTCATATACAATTCTGACTCAGCAGGTGTCCCTTTCTGAATAGAAGCAGGATTAAATGGCTTTCTCTTAGCCATGTGGAACACTGCCAGATTTTAATGTAGCAGAAAGCTGCTATCAGATTGAGTGAGCACAACTCTAACCTGACCTTAAAATTATACTGACACTTCCTCAGTTACTTTCAACTGCAGGGAACCAGAACACAAGAGGTCTTCTGAAGAATGTGAAGGAGTAACTTAAGAGGTATCATACAGTATACAGTCTGATGTTTATTTTGCAGATTACTTCCAAACAAATACTTCATACTTTTTATCAACATTGTCATCCCCCTTAGACAGACAATTTTATAAGAATGATACTTGTCAAAATATAAAATTGCCTTTTGAGATAAACTAATAACAACGATTTTTAATAATAATGATTTTTACTGGAATGTTTCTAGTAAAAATTGTCTCGGAAATACCTACTGAAAACAAATAATTTTCAGTAGGTATCAGGTCCTGTCACTTGTTCATTACGTAACCTTAAAATATGTTTCATAACCACCTGAACTTTTTGTCAATGTACATTAACTAATTTACTTGAGAAAATTCAATTATAAGAATTAGATTTTCAAGTAGAAAAATACATTTAACTTAAAAACTATAATTATTCAAGTGCTTCATTCAATACAGCCATTTAAAGCAGCAACCAGAAAATGTATTTGAAACAGAATTTGACATTAGTTTTAGGCTGCTGCACAAGAAAGTCTCTATTGCAGTTAGACCTTAACTTTTGAAATGGATGGAAACTACACTCATTAATCTCTGAATATGCAAACTTACACTAGATAATGGAACACATTCTCTTTTATGTCTGTTTTAAGATATTTAAGTGGTCTACTGCAGCATTAAAAAGCAGGCTGCTGTTTAAAAAATGTTGAATGCTTAATTAAAACATTACCTGATTACTATAATGCAAGGGATCTTTTAAACTGTCAGTATTTTACCCAAATGAAGCAAATTCAGAAAAACCGAAAACATTCCTTTGTATGATACAGGTGAATCAAACAATCTGAATACAAAATAATTTGTCAAAATATCAGGTTACATTTATACTACAAAACACTGCATGAATACTACAGAAGCAGTTGACACCTATTTTCCATCAATGAAAAAGGACTGATGAGCTAAATGTTATTTTTGGAAGTAAAAGCATTAGAAATATATTTCTTGGGATGTTAACGCAATACACTGTATTAAGTAACGTCAATCAATACATTTAGCACAAAAATCTGAGGGCTTTATTTTCAATGGGACAGAGGGTGAAGCCTGCTGCCAAGGGGACTCTGAGATTTCTGACTGGTTCCATGCAGAATCTGTTGTATATAACAGGAATGACCCATGCAGGACCTGACCTTAAACCCCCTCAAATTACCCACCTGGTCCGACACTGATTGAACGTTGAGATCAGGCCTTGCCGAAAAAGGAACTTAGACATGACATAGGGTTTCAAGAACATGTGAAAAGGTGATCTGGTCTCTTGCCGTTCAAAAAGATCAGGATGGTTACACACCTAAAGGCAAGTAAAAAAAATACAAATGATAAAAACAACAAAAAAAGTCATACGTCATATTTTCAAGAACAGACTGAAGTTAACCTGGACTACCACAGGAATCTCAAGAACAATACCGCTTCCTTCAAGCATCCTTAAGAAATGATCTATGCAAGTACATGTCAACTCTCTGAAAAACTGAGGTTGAAGTGGCACTGCTGGTTCTTGCTTTTAGTTGTATGTGCCTTGGAAAATGAATATTAATTTTAAGAAATATTAAATACAAATTCTTTCATCTTTCATTTATGAATGCTATTATAATATTTAGGGTTGATTAAGCCTAGCAGATAAAAAAAACAGGCAGTTTGTGTACAGGGTGCATTTTTCACCTTCCTGAACTGCATGACGAGGTTCATTAAGCTGCTGGTAGTGTTCTGTGCTTGCTGTGCTGTTCCCATTGAAGACTGGAGAAGATCCTCTATTGAGATCTTATTCTTCAGGGCCTGGTACAGGAGCTTCTGGCGGCTTGTCAGTTGACAGTACATCAGAATTTCAATCTAATGAAGAGACAACAAATGTGGCCAATTGTCTACATATAAAGAGCTGCTTCGACATATCATGAGTTATAAAACATGCTGATGTTTAGAAACCACCTGGGAAAACAAATTTGACCTTGATAAACACTCAAAGCAGCTGCAAGCAGAGGAAATGGGAGATTTAGGCCTGAACCGCTCCAACATGCCCCAAACAGCAGAGTAGCAAGATTACTTTCACTTAGTACCTTATCAGAGAGTTCATTCTCCACATCCTTCTTGATGCGCCGTAACATAAATGGCTTCAGTATCATGTGTAATCGAGATAGCTGGTCTGAAAGAGCAAAACATAAGTAGCAAAAATCAAACTGAGTACTGTACTTTTTTCTTCATCCAAAAGATATTTTTAAAATTGAGCCAGATGTGAAACAGATCTCAAGCATAGAACAACGTAACTATTCATGATCCTAATCTATAAAAACATTCTCACATTCAATTAAATAATTGTCTACTGAATTTCTAATATGTCACTAGTGTGTCATCTTAACTTCACCATCACCCCACAATCCTTTTCAAACACAATTTAAAACACATGGAATCCTTTTTTATGTGGTAAGCTTTTTTTCAGCCCTAAAGCAACCTTCTAGTCCCGTTCTTGCAAGGTGTATAATGTTGCCTTTTGGCACTGAATTATTAGTTTGGATATTCTGAAATACTCACTCTCATCAATGGCTGACTTGTTTTCCGCGTGACTTTCGATGTCCTTGGAGAACCATTCATTGAACTCTTCGTGCGAATCAAAGAGAGTCGGCATAATGAAATGCAGCAAGGCCCACAGCTAAAGAAGAAGCATCGGAATTAAATGGAGGCACAAAGCTAAAACTTTTTCTTGCACATATTACTTGTTAAATTGCCACACATGCACGGTTTGAGAACTATTCAAGGATTTTGCTCACTCATTCATCTTCACTATTTACATTGGAGAACTGTTTCTTAGAATTAAAACAGTAAAGAATCTAGATTGCGGCACACAACAGTGCAACCCTTGATTGAATTATCGGGAAAATGACATGTTTTTATCACGGTGCTGATACACAGCACTGAGAAAGACCTGATTCAGCCAGAACGTAGACAATTCCATCACTCACCTCAGCCATTGTATTCTGAATGGGTGTTCCTGTGAGAAGCAGCCTGTTTCGACACTGGAACTGCAGCAATATCTTCCATCGGACACTGCCAAATAAATATCACTGTGAATGGGACTGATCTATTTCACAAACTATAAACCTGGGTAATTCACAAAGAGCAACTTCACTGCTGGAACTTAAACTAGTGCTTGGCAAAATTTCCAAAGATAAAGTTTATTATCCATCTGTTGACAAGCTTTTTAAAAGAAATCTAAAGAAATCAATCCAGAAATCATGAGGCTAAATTTGTAATCGTCAACTGACACTTGTGTAATAATAAATTCTGCAGTACAGACTGGCTTTGGAAAGAATTACGCCAGCAGCCCAATGGACACGGTTATTTGTTACTTTTCACTTTCCAGAACAAACACAGTCAGCTGCCCTTCAACTTCTTCAAGCTGAACAAAGCAAAACCTTTTAAGACTTTACTTGTACATTTATTTCCAAAGGAGAGAAATGTATTGCTGCCAATAAAAAGTCGATCTTTTGAGTCTTTTATTTGACATACTGCAGCAATCTAACCTAGGGCCCTGTGTAAGAAAATATGAAATAACAGCACAGAGTTCATCCTTCAAATTCTCTCATACTGTACCACTCAGTTTTCAGAGCTAGCTCTCGTCCTCAGCTTACCTGGTGCTGCTTTTCAGTGCCTGGGCCTCATCCAACACCATGTACTGCCACTTCACTCTCTGGAAATACTTCACATCCTGCACCACAAGCTGATAACTAGTGATCACCACATGGAAAGGTGCATCTTGGGTATACAATGTTTTCTACAGACAGAAAAAACAGCAATAAGAACATTTTCTCTCAAAATGTGGAGTCTTCCCCTAAGGATTCTGCATGGAGTTTTACACTGAAATGGAAGCACACAGCTTCGGTCTTTAAAGGACTAAGTATTCTGTGCTGGGCAAGTTCTGTGATTAACTGCATACTAGTAACAAACTGTGTATATTTATATACCCTAATGAGGACATATAAATCCTGCTCCTACAATATAAATCTGTTACTGTGCTTCACAACGTATTCACCACAAAGAAATCACAAGAGCAAGTCTAACAATGTCTCTGGGTCGATCCAGAAAAAATTGACCAGAACAAGTGCCTCTTTGATATTTGAGTATACCAAGATAAAAAAAAAAACGCTGGTAATTATTTTTTTTTATTTCCCTTGTGACCATGGACCAGGCAAAGGTCTTAAGATTATAATTATAGAAAAAGCTCTATATTCAAACTTTAGCCCTAACTTTTTACCTTGTAGGGATTGAAGATCCTAAAATGCTGGTATTGTTTAAAAGCATTAGAAACCAATCTTTCAAAATTTGTGAAACACATTTAATTTCAAGTTGTCTTACTGGTCACTTAATACTAAGCAAAATTTGATTTGTGTCATTTTGTCACTACATTAAATCATGTAAGAGGGCTCTAATAAATCACCCTTTTGACCTAGACTCTTTGACTAAGTTCTACAACATTCAAAAAAAAATTATTGTACCTATTGTATTATGCCTCTGCTACAGTATAATCTCAGAACATTGGGCAAGAAAATGTCCCTTTCCTAGCTGAGCTGGCATGGCAAGGGTCTTGCCAAATTCCTGGAAAGGGCTGGTTGCGTTAATTACAGCACAATAAATTAACAAAAACATTTGCTCTCAGTCCGTGTCAACATCGTACCTGACTCCAAAACTTCCGGATTACCTTCCTGTCATGTGGATTGCCCCAGTAAGGCAACACCTGAAGAAGAAAAAAGGGTATAGAAACACACATCTCAAGAATTCCATTCAAGATACATTCTTGCATTGGGGATTTACAAATATTAGCTCTGCTGTCATAAAAAGAGACCTTCAGACCCCCATTAACAGTGTGCCCCTAAAGCAGATTCTTATAGTCAGAAATAGGTTCTGCCTACACTAGAGACAGGGGGGTGTTTGTGAGTACAATCGCCTGTGTGTTCTGTTAAGCATCCAGGTCAACAGCTCATTGAGTCCTTTAAAGGTGAACTAACAGGAATCTGGAAGGAAACTGCCCTCTATTTGATTCGTTCACACTGCACAGTGGAAACTCGTCTACAATGTCTGAGACCAGAACGCCATTTTTTCCTCATTGGTTTGTTCATAGTTGAGCAGCTTTTACACAAAGCGTATCTTTTTTAATGCCACTGAAACCACATTAATTTTGTCTCCTTTCTCTTCTGGGTGTTATTACCAGCTGACATGATTCTGATAATCTTTTAACACCTCGTTAGCAGATCACTGCTGTATTAATGCTCACGTATGATCACGTCTCATGGAGAGTGTCGTGCTCCGTATCACGCCTGCATTTTTATACAGCCCTCATGTTCCTTGGATGGACGTTATCATTACAGTTGAAACACTTTCTGTCTTCTAGAACACTGCTTTACTTGCATATCAAAAACCATCATATAACTTGAGCATTAATTCTGAGCTTAAATTACTGTAGTGCTTATTTCAAGCACTGCCCTCTTACCCTAGAGAAATCCTCTGGGAGGCCATTACACTAGAGCAGTTAGGAGCCTAAGCAGATTACTAATGCAAATCCATGTCAGGATGCAGTTATCTGGGCCTGAGGATTTAGACTGCTTGTTCCTCTCCTGAACCACACAAGGACAGTATATTTTACACATGTGGAACACATGCACACATGCGGCCATTTGAAACTACATTCAATGAAAATTTGGATGGCCATTTGCCACCTCATTACTGAACACACAGACCTGCTTGGTCACAGTAACACTGCCCTTTGGAGAAGCAAAGAATAACACTGCTGCACTGTCGTCATAATGATGGTATTCTACTGCCCCACAGAGGATAACCAGGAAATCACAGGGGATGACTATAAGGACTTCAACTGCATGTCCAGAGATGATACTGAGCTAACTGAACATAACTCATTTAAGAATTACATTTTCAAAAAGTGGTTTAAGTTTAATTTTTCTTTTTTGCTAGAAGGAGAAAGACACAAATTTCATTCAGTGACTTTAGAACTGGGGGGATTTGTTTCATGCTTGGGTTATGTCACTGGCCAGCAGTGACTGCGATTCCTCAAAAAGAACACTGTTAGATTAGGCTGCCTGCCAGTCAGCTTAGCTTTCAGGAAAGGAGCTGTAACCTGTAACCTACTAGCTGGGTCACTCCAAGCTCACGCAGTGACAGTAAGCATACAGAAATGTGTGCTTAAGCTCTTTTCTTCTTTTTCATTTGATTGTGGCTCAGTGGAGATATGAAATAAAGCTGCATGTAACGTTTTAGTCACAAACGAACTAAATTTAACCAGCAGCTTTAAAAGCACAGACTGAAGTTGCTTTAAAATTGAAGCATTGCAGCATTGAAGAGGACCTACAGTAAAACCAGGCACCTTCAAATGATGGATTGGAAAAAAGACTTGCGACCTCTAAACAGGACATGTATGTGTAATATGAGTATCTCCTAACAGAATTTGCAAAACTGGTTACTACTTATTGGAACCAATGTGGGTTACAAAAAGACTTCAAGAGCTCATGTTTCACTATTCTACTCCTTCTTGTCTGTTTCTCTTGAGCCACAAATATTTTATATCTAATCATGGGAATATAATGGAAAGCTTTCAACAGAGCTGTGACTTTACGTACTGTATAGGAGCTGCACAAACTTTGTTAAATGAGCTTTGGAAGCGAATGAAATGGGAACAATGCAGTTATTTTTTGCTTACTAAAAGACATGTTTCCTGTTACCTTGAATTTCGGAACAAATCTGGTGAATTCTTGGTGCCAGTTGTTGAGTGTAGAAGCTGGGGATATGATTAGAAATGGACCCCAGATGTTGTCTCGCTGAAAGACAAAATAAAATACGAATTAATCACAAAGCAGGTGGCCATCTGTTAAAAAACAGGAAACTGATTTTTAAAACTAAATACCTTTACTGTATCCTGCAGCTCTGAGTAGATAAGGATTAATATTTGCCAATTTTAAAATTCCCTCCCAAATATGTCCTTTTCTACTGTACTTAAAACTACCTTGGATCTGGAAGTTCACTTCCAGAACAGTCTGAACAGTCTGTTTATGTACAAGCCAGAGTGAGGTCAATCCTTCTGATAGTATAACTAATTAAGCACTGTTTTTAGACACAAAGGTGAATAAATAAGATAACTGTCAACCAGCTGAGGCTGATTCTCCAACTGGTATGAGGAGTCCAAATCCAAAAAGTCAATTACATAATGTAAACATAAAAAAAAAATACAAACAAGTGCAGGCCATTTGGCCTATCAATCTTGTTAGGTAGTAGCTAACTGATAGATCACTGACAAGTCAGCTGTTTCCTGAAATAAGACAGTGTATTGGATTCAATAATAGAGCTGGATAGCTCATATCTCTAATTCCTAACTGTCTAGACAGCCTAGGAACATTGCTTTAAAAGACAAAAACAGAACAAATACATGTGCCTTATTTTCTGAAAGAACTCCTGCCCAGATTCCAAGGTTTGATAGTTGGGGTCACATTCCTCTGCTCATATCTTAAATCCTGAGTATCAAGTCACAGTCTCCCTGCCTCCTGCCTGTCCCGGACTGTACATGTGGTTTATTCAGCACTTACCTCGGCCAGGTGAGCCAGCAGGGCTATGCTCTGAACGGTTTTTCCCAAACCCATTTCATCCGCAAGAATTCCATTGATACCCTTTAAAGGGAAGCCACAATACAAAATACTTTGATTTCAATCATTTTTAACTTATTCATAGTCATCTAAATATCTCTCCACCACAGAACATGCTGTATGCATATAAAACCTTCATATTAACACAGTAAGAGCTGACTCCCATTGAATGAATGGAGCTGCAGTCACATAATGCTTTTATCAAAGTGATGCACTAACATGAGAAGCATGAAAACAATATGTCATACTCTTGTACTCCATGGCTGTGTGGCCTATCAGTGTCAAAAATTTAGTTTTCACTTTCAAGGGTATCATGCATGCCAAGGAAAATAATGATCATCGTGTGCCTATCCAGTCACAGGCCTGACAAGAGTCTGATATCCGAATGATTCTCACATCTCAGTCGCACTGTAAAGCACAGCTAAACAAGAACAAATACAATTAACTTCCCCTGGGCTCGTGAACACCTCTGACAATGAGTACTGCAGCGTGCACATGGTCAGCCAGCAGAAGGAAGATTATTTTGAATGTTTTTACTTACCATATTCAAACACAGAAATCAGACTTGCACAAAGCAATATGCTACAGTTTCAAACAAACTAGAAACACAGTGTCCCAAATATATTCTTCGAGATCAAACAGCACTACTAGGAATTCTCATAATGTACACATACAAAAACTCCTTTTACAGGATACATTTATTGGTGTACTATTCAGCTGCGGACCACACAACATATAAAGGAATTCCCAGAGCTTTTCTGTTACTGTTAAATCAGAGATGCAATTCCTCAAGCAATCTGCTTTTCTTGACCACACGTTGGTGGAGATGCGTCACCTGTTCATAGAGGTTGGCCAGCCAGTTCATGCCCTTCAGCTGGTATCCCTTCAGCTTGCCGTTGAAGAGAGTGGGCTGGGGAATGTCGTCTCCCGCTCGGATGGAGGGATTGGACAGGCTGTAGCTCTCTCCAAAGCCCGAGCCCGCGCTGTTCGACGCGCGCAGGGAAGCGCAGCGGCTGTCCTTGGCCTCCTCATCGAAAAGCCGGGTCTAGGTGGGATCAGAATCAAGGGAGAGGAATTGAACAGTGAGGCTTGGACTTTGGCAGGACAAACCGGCAAAAGACAGTTTGCTCGAGTAGGCAAATAAATAGGAAAATTAACCGCGCGGAGAGTGCCCGGCCTCAGGCTTCCGGAATCTCACTTTACAAGATTGCCAATAATACACTTCGACAGATGGCTAACTGAAACTATATTAGATCAGTCCAGGGTTTCTAAACGTGAAGAAAGGGATCTGCCGAGAGATTTTATTGATCTCCTTTCAATTAGGCTGCTGTCAAAACTAATTACAGAACACACAATTGAATTCAAAAGAGCTAGAAGGGACTGAATGGGCTTCTCTAGCTTGTAACCTATGTTCTGATAAAACTCACGGCGAGAAAGGCTTTCAAGCCTGAAAGACATTTAAACTATATAAAAAATTACATCATGAGTTGAAAAAAATCAAAAATGTACAGAAACAGAGCAAATTTATGTATACGAACAAAAAAGTGTTTACACTGGAAACAACAGCAGCATTTCAGCATAAAAACAATGTGATGTCAGATGCTGAACTGATATACAGATAAGCACTCCTATCATTGGGTAGGCATTAACATGCCAAGGTAGTTGTGTCTTTCTGCTTTACTGCCCGTGCTGTTAACAAGGAATGTGAGAGCTCCTGGCATGCTGACGACTGAGGTGCCAGACATTAGCATTAAAATAAAAGCTGCAAAAAGCTGCAGAGGGAGAAGTCAGGGTTGACAAAGTGTTGATAGATGTCACATTAAATTAATCTTCCTGTCTTTAGTCTGCATCTATTACACTCCCAAAACGTGATCTTCCAGTATGCAGAAACCCCAGTTTTATCACTTAGGAACAGACAGGTCTATTAAGGGAAAAAAAATACTGGGGTTTATAATTAATTTACACTTTTCAGCATTGGTTTAATTGCTTGTTTTACTTAAGGGATGTTTGTGATTAAGTTCCATCTTCTGATGAAGATATTTGTAAGCATGGATGAAAACAGCATCCTCTTCTGTGACATTGGGCTTTTCACACAGTGAGCAGGACTATAACGCAAGGGTGAAGTCCACTTCCTCTTGACCCATGTTCTTCACGCATTAAAATTGTTGATAATTTTGGGAACATCAGATCAGGTTTTTCAGGTAAGATCAGATTTTTCCTGGACTAGTCCCACTGCATCATGTGTTTGTATGCTGACTATTTATCATTCCGACACCAAGTGTCTCGTCCCTTAAAACATATGGTAACTGTTACATCCATTGATTTCTTGCATTGATCTCCTAAATGCTGAGAGGAAAAGATGATGATACAAAGGCCTTATGATGCTTCTTAGATTATGGGTTACTTAACACAGCATTTGACAGGAATGGCTCAGCCTTTCCCTTCTTTCATGCAGAATTTCCCAGTCACACATGGTATATTGCTATTCTTAATTGACCATGACTAAAGATCTTAATTTGTGCTTGATCTACATCAGAAAATATAAGAAAAAATAAAACTGAGTCGCTTTAGCCAATCAAATGTATGATCTCAGTGACTCAATAAACACTTATAAATTAGCAGCTGTGGTTGTGTTGAAAATCACCAATTTCTACATCCCCATGCTCTGTAGAATAAGATGTCTCATTTCTTCTCTCTTTATTATCTCTATTACAGATATAAATACGTCTTAAGCTTAGTGCATTTGTGCCAGTTCTAAAAGCTGACTCATTCCTGAACCCATTCATTCACAACATTATTCCTGAAAGATTCTTAATCACAAATTAAAATTATTTTGTTACTTCTAATTAATAATTTGTTAACTCTTAAACTTTTCAATACATGTATGCTTTCCATCGAGTTCCACTTACTCTCGCCTGGTGGATCTGAAATGCTTCCTCTGCATTCCTTAGAGCCTGAGTTTTATAGTAATCGCTGTCTGCAAGATAAGCGAATTGCACAGATTATCAGAAGGTAATGGAACAACTGATTCCGCACAGAGATCAGTTCCTTCAATACTTTTTTATAAAAATACACATTCAACTTAAGCTGACTTTGAAATCATAACTACAGGGGAGAAATTGTAGGCTGAACAAATTTTTCAGCATTCAAGAACATGAAGTATCTGTGTTTTTCAACATTATAACAGCTATTGCATGTCACTATTTAATAGAGCTTCTAGATATTAATATGCTATGAACAAAAAGTTAGAAAAATGCTCAGACTTGAACAAAGACATTCCTTTAATAATGTTGCCCAGAAAGGAGGACTTTCTGACCTCATAAATCATTAAAGGAATTCAAGAACGAATAATATTTCAATGCACATTATGATTAAACTGTTAATGTCTTTGAGCTTTAATTTTATTAAAATATTGCACTTTCTTTATAACGGAGAAATGATCAACCGAAACTTGAGAAAACAACACATGATAAACACACACGATAAAGCAGGCAGGACTGGCGTCTACGCCTCGCGTGCAGCCCAGGGTTCCTCACAATGACGTCGCCTGTGGTTGTAAGATCAGGAAATCGGCTTACAGCTCACTGAAGTTTTGGCTTTACGTTTAAGAAGTCAGGGGAAGCGAGGCTGGTGCTTGCACCTGACAGCTGAGCACCGTGCCATTTTGCAGCTGCTGACAGCACTACAATGCAAAGTCAACACTCCCAGCTATTTACAGCACACAATCAGGGCTGCTGAAGAGGAAATAACAGTAAGTCCTGTACCAAGGGCCCTCACAGCTGAAGCGCAAAGATCAATGTTAAAATCGCTCTGGAACACGGGAGTGTTCTTTGTAACACTGCTGCCCCCTTGAGGTACTAAAAAAAAAAACACTATTCTATTTTGCTGCCAGAAGAAAATAAAACAGCTACTCAGTGCCTGAAAAAAGCAGTTTTGGGGATGGGAGACGCACAGAAAAAGAGAATACCACCTTAGCCCATAACATAATGAGTTTTGGTTTTTAGTTTAGAGGACTGGGTTTTTTTAGTTAACAAAAAATCATAAAAAGACCCTAGGAAATAAAAATCGCACATTACGTTCCCTTATTAATGAGGCCCAAGGTAAAAGGTCATGTTGATTTAACAATGTTCTGAATACTGTAAGAAAAATTGGTTGATGTAAGTCTAGCCTTTATCTGTAAGCCACTCTTTTCTGAAGAATACAGTTTAACACGACAAATTACAGCCAAATGGGAAATGGGAAGGATTATAGGCTACTCTCAATTACAGCTACTTTAAATACAGATGCTTGGTTTAGTATTGGTCCTGCATTTTTCCAGCAGACAGCTAAAAAACCAATATAAAGAAGCATATATATTTATTTTTGTATCTGTTTCACAGTAACATTTAAAAGAGAAGTTATCTTTATGTATCATTTTGATTGTGTCCTTAAATTTTAAATTACAATACAAAGAATCAACCTCTGACTTAGGCAAACATATAATAAATGCAAAATCAAATATAGAAACACTTAATAAAATTGAATAAAACGTTTCTCTATTTTAAACACTCAGCAAATGAATTAAGGAATAATACCATATTCTTCTTGGCCAACGTTAACCATCACTCCTCCCCCAACATCAATCTGTCGGTATGTTGAGTTGTCTTCCAGTTTCCTCAGGATCTCCTCCTGCTTCCCATCATTCCCTGCATTATGTTTGCGGCTCATAAAATGGGCGTACAACTCGGTCTGTGTGATCAGGAAATTCAGCTTTCGTTGCTGTCGCTTGGCCTTGAACACAGAGCAGAAAAGAGAGTTATCGAAGTATGTTTAAAACTTCTGAAAGGTCTATCTAAAAAAAAGAAATCTGAAACAAAAGATCATGCTCAGTTTAGAGTGTAGCAAAGGAAATTCAATTATTCAAATGTTACTGCTTAACTGCATACTTAAAATGATTTATGCTGTATAAATCTGAAACCTGAAGAAAAACAAGCAATCCTGCTTTATTATAGAACACCATTTTTCACAATTTTAATGGTCTTATCACTTGTATAATGTCTGTCAATTTTGAGTAAATTTTGTAAATCTATTTCAACCAAAGCCCAACAGCAAAGAGGTTGGACACCTTGATTAATTTTAGACTACCATTTTTCCATGTGTGAATTCTGTCTTTTTTTGGGGTTCCCTAAAATATATATTTTTTAATAATCCATCAGGCCACCATTTTAGTAAATGGATGACACAACTTTCTTTCTCTCTTGAAATGTACTGTTCCCATGATGATGCCTCACAGATTTGGAGCACTACTACCAACTTCAACAGAGTTGGTACATCAGTGGTGAAGCACCAGAAGGCCCTGTGTGCTCTTGAGGACTGGTGGCCCAGCCTCGATATAGCCCACCCAGCCCGATGATGCTCCAGTGGCACCTACCTCTCTCATCTCTTCATCCAGTTTGCGTTGCTCCAGCGCCTCCTTCTCTGCCCTCTTGCGGTGCTCTTTCTCCACCTTCTCGTACTTCTTCCAGTAGAGCAGCATCTCCTTGGTGAGCCGGCGGGCGCGGGGGAGGGTCTCTTTGCAGTTCTTCTGGGCCTGGATGGCTGCCCGGCGCACCTCCCGCATGCACTGGTGAGCCAGCTGTAACACACGGGCCTCACGTTTACTGACCTGCCTTCACCGTCTCTGGCTCAATGACATCTCAAACACACAACGGGCGGAGCACAAACGCGACTTGCCTTTTTATATGGAAATAAAATGCTTTTAAAACCTGCCTGGTTTTTATTTCTCCAGTCTAAAATAATCTGTTTATGTCACAAAACTGCAAGTAGCTCTTTAGGATGAATGGGGCAATTTGTTCTGTAAAACACAATACACTGAATATTGCTTAACAAGTGCTTTGAGAAGCCACTTTTGCAATCATTGTAATATTACAATAACAAAATACTACACCTTACTCATCAGTATCCCAGTTATTTATGTCATCCTGAATATGTGCCTGCTGTCATTATTATAAAGCATGTTTATTTTGAACGCTGACACCCTTGACAGAATAAAGTGCAGTTATAACAAGGGACTGATGTATATTTTTGTGCCGTTCTCATGTTAAAAAACTGAACAGAAAAGTTACCTTTTTAGCATTGGTTAAAACAAAGTTGCGAGCCGAAGCTTTCTGCTTGAATGCCTGTGGAAAAGACACAATCATGGGTACATGTCTCCAGTTAATCCCTAATTTTAAAAAGAAACAGTTCTAGTAAAAATTAAATTGAACTTTCATTATTAGTAACAGTTCTATCCTTGTATATAGAGGGTACTTTAGAGATGCCATCAATCTGAACAGAATTTTTGGACTTTTGGAGTAAAAAATAAATAATACCTTGGGATTTTCTTTTTTGGCAATAGTGAGCCAGACTTTGCGGCGACGTGCATTTAGTTGTTCGATAGTGAGGTGCTTCTTCTTTGACACCGGCAAAGGGGCATCATGGGAGAACTTGGCAAAAATTTTGTTGGTGTAGATGCGTCCCTCTGTGGAGAATTCTTCATCACGTTTCTTCTTCTTTTTCACCTTCTTCAGCTTGGCTAAAGTGCACCATTTAGAGGAGGAATGGAAATAAAATGAGAAACTGATTTTAGGACGAGTTATTTTTTCTCACCCGTCTCAACACACGAATTGTCCAGAAGGTCACTTACCCTTCAGTTTCTTCTCATCTTTAATTTTCTTCTTTTTTGGCCCCAGGAGGTGGCGCTGCTGCTCGTAGAAAGGATCGTGAGTGGACAGTAGCCCGGCGCTGTAGTACTGGTACTGCTGTAACTGAAATGGGATCACAGGTGCACTGAGCAATGGGCAGCAAAGTCTACGAAGGCTGTTGCAGAACTGTTAGATTTAGGCAAAGCTACTGTTCAGCTTCGGCACTAACGGTCTATTTAAATGCATTTCAGCCATTATGAATCACATTATAGGAATATGCTTTCTGAACACATTTGTAGACATTAAGATTGTGTGTGGCCTTAAGAACATTCAATAAAGTTTGATTACAGGCTTCAGAAGCAGTATTTTAAATTCAACGCTTGTATTCATCCTATTCTAGACATGTTGCTAACGAGTGCTACTTAGCAAGACTAAAGCTGAAACTTATTTTCTTTTAAGGACGCCATCCTCAGGCCTGGAATGTTTTCTGGAGTTACGATGTTTTGCGATTCCCACCTGACGAGACAGCTAGGAAACCCCCTTGCTTCCTCATCCTTCTGTGTTGGGAAAAGTGCTGGAGAGAGGGGAAGTCCTGACTTACCTCCCGGTCTGTGTGGAACTTGCTCTGGTGTAGCTTATTGTGTTTGTGCAGCCTCAGCATGTCATGCAGCTCCTCTTTAGAGAGGGTGAACTCCTCGTCATCAGAATTGGAGTCCGAGTCTGTGGTGTCATCGCTCAACAATACACTCTGGAAGCAAAAAAAACTCCTTACACACAGTATAGCCGCACACCTTCTTATAGTTTGCGAAGATAGAAAAAGATGCTGAAACTAAATTAAGCATTTTTTTTCAAATACAAGAAAACAATAAAAACGCACACCAAAATACTAAGTGTAAATACATAAACATATTCACTAAAAACTTTTTTTTTCAATGTTAAGATCTCATGTTAATTATTCTTTAGTCACTAGTATTGCCGCTTGTTTATGAAACTGAAAGCAGATCACCTTCCGTAGTTTGTACATCACAAAAAAAGGTTTTATAACATACACTCCCAATACCCAAGCACCTAAGAGACGTGCTGTTAGAGTATCTCCATCTTTGTGTTTATAGATCATGGCCAGTGGGTTAAGATATCAATCTGATGAAACTATGAAACTAAATCAGCTTTTTCTAATAAAACAAAAACAAAACCCTATCAGGAAATTTCTCAAGTAACCTATATTAACAGCTACAGAGTTAGAGGTCTGAAAAAAGAATGGGACATCAATTATACTGCAAAGTAACAAGTAATAGGTTTATTCCATGCTGAAAAGATAAGAAAGAAAACAATGTTTCGGCTGTGGAGCCTCTTCGGGTGTCACACCACACCCAAAGGCTCCACAGCTGAAACGTTGTGTTTCCTTTCTTCTCTTTCCTGCATGGGATAAACCTATTACTTGTTCCTTTGCAGCCTACGCATGTTGACGCAGCTACCCACTTGAACTACATCAATCATACTGTACATATTACTGTACAATATAAATTAACCTCAATACCTTAAGCCATTTTCTACTTTTCTTCAATTTTGTAAAGTTGTACAGACTTGCTTTGTCCACTTTTTGTTCTGTGAAAGAAAACAGAGATGTGTCAGATTTATAATGCTTTAACATTGACAGGTTTAACAGGTGTGGAGGGCTGCAAGCTGAACAGCATTCCCTCCTACCATGCGGCAGGGCTCCATTGAGTGAGCGGCTGTCCGGGAGCGATCCCAGCCCAGCAGCTCCACACGGCTCTCCCCTCTCCCCGGAGTCGAGGGGCTCCTCCTTCACCCTCAGGAGGGGACCACAGGTGTCCGAGGGGGTCAGGGAGTGGTCCTCCTCCAAGCCATCATCGCTGTCATCACTGGGGAAACAAGATGGTAACTTGAGCACTCTCAACATGACAAGTCCACTCTGCTATTAAAACCTCTACCCCCACGGTACTACCATGTCTACCCTGTGGGCTCTCTTATTTTCTGTACGGCCTTACCTCGAAATGTTCCTGTTGAACAAAGCTGCAGTCTGACGGAGGAAGGCATCCAGCTTCAGGGATTTTTCAAGGTATTGTAGGTGGAGAGGCTTTGCCAGCTTTGTAAAGACACCATCTTCTGTTTCGTCCAAATCCAAGGCCATAGGGAGCTTTTCTCAAACCCACACGTGGGTTGCAAAATCCACTACTTTCAAGCAAAACAAAGAAGCCATGAACACAATGTTGTTGTTGTGGAAAAATACCCATTTTGTGTACCAGAAGCATGACTTTCTCTTGTCATTTCTAGACTCCATCTACACCACAGAACCAGACAAGAAATAATAATAATCCTTACACTTACTGTATAAACAGGTGGGGCCTCCCCTCCACCACCAGTCTGCAGCCCCCACCTGCATGATGCGACGGCAGCCAAAGTGCACCAGTACACTCACCACACATCATGTATCAGTAAGTGAGGAGAGCAGATGGGGATTATTAAGAGTCCATGATTGGTAAAGGCTTGGGGAAATATGGCCAAGATACCCGGTTTAACACCCCTACTCTTTTCAAGAAACATCCTGGGATCTTTAATGAACACAGAAAGTCAAGACCTTGGTTTTACGTCTCATCCAAAGGACGACGCCTTTTTACAGTATAGTTTCCCTGTCACTATACTGGGGAATTAGGACTCTCACAGACCGTAGCAATAGTTCTCTGTACTGTTCTCACTAACATCTCTTCCAAGAGTAACTACTGCCAGGTTCCAGCCCTTCATTCAAAGTGGTATGTCATGAAACTTAGCATGTTCTGAAAAGGAAAGCAGCCAAATTATCCTCAACAATTATATGCTGGGAGCCTTTGTCAGTGAGGGGATACTGGAAAGGCCACTTATTTGCTTATACTTCCAGCACAATCTGATATGTGCGCACAGCATTTTTATTTTCAAGGCTTTGCAAAGTCCTTTGTAAATAACTATTTTAAAAGGGCTTTTTATTATTACTGACCACTAACCCCAAGAATAAAGATGGATGCCTCTATATACATCGATGTGAAATACCAGGTTGCTTAAATGGAAGCTTTTTAAAGTTTTCTAGAAAAGCTGGAAGTTTAAAGTTATTTATAAAAAACAGTGGTAAAACCAGACTTCCAATATGTTTAAGAAAACAGAAACAAATCATAATATTCTTCAATTATGTACTGTAACTGAGGTACAGACACTGGCATATCAAGGACTACAACCACAGCATTGAGGTTAATGAATTAATCAGTAATTTCCTCTGAGGATCCGGAGTCAGTTTAATATTAATTCAATTTAACACATTATCATCAGAATGACTATATATATTCATTGTTCCTCACTTCTATGCTCAAGGCTAGTTCAATAAGCAATGAATGATTACACAGCTGCAATTATCTACGTAAATGCTACCATGAGCTCATGAGACCTCTAAAAGGCCACACGCTGTCAGATGCTGTTAGCACTGTATATTAACTGTTAATGGTTCATGAGTATAGTAACTAAATCTCTGGTTACACACCAGCAATCACTACACAAAAATTTCACTGAAGTATAAACACACAGCATGGGCAGAATAAAAAGTAATTTTTAATAAGAAAGTCCTTACAGAAAACTCCCAGCACATGTCAAAATAACAAATGGCTTAAAATCAAGATGAATAATGTAGAAAAGTGTATTTCTGTCTCAAACGGACATACAGTATAAGCCAACTGCGGAAATCCCTCCCATAATAACTCTAGCCCATAACAGAGGTTAAATAAAAGCAATAGGCTTAAATTCTAGGGGAAACCCATCTACCCTTTGCACGGTGGTTACAGAAATCTTGAAGTAAATGCTGTGATACCATGTAAACCATAAACAAGAAGAAACAAAGAGATGCAAAACGTCTAATGCTAAATTTATTTTTTTGAAGGTAATAAAAAAGTCGTCTCCCTGAAATTGTTACTTTAATTGATCTTTACTACCCAATATCCAGCTGACAGTCAGATCTCTTACTGTTGTTTCTTCTAGTTTACTATTAGCATTCATTAATGTTAAATATTAATTAAGTTATTTTTAAGGGTTTAGTTGAATTCCAATGTGTCAGTCTGGCTGAAAAAGGAAGGGGCTTAGAAAAAGATTAATGACACTGTAGTCTTGGTCCTTGTGTTGAATTGATAAAACAAAATCAGAAGCTATATGAGTTTGATCTTTCCTTGGATGAAGAAAATTGTTGTGCGTAACTCCCACTTCAGTGAAAAGAACAGGTGTGTCCATCTATTGCTTTTACTGCACGTGTACTGTATAATGACAGAGCTTCACACATAGACACAGATGTCACCTTTAAAATTTAATTTTCTTTAAGTACAGTAATAATATATTGTCATGTAATCCTTATATTATAAAATGTTTCATATTGAGCGCCTAAGATAAGTTAACATATTGATTTGTTGTTTTATTCTTGATGGATCTAAACAGGTGCACAATCACAAAATAGTATATTGCCATATTCAAAAAAACATAAATATTTCTTACACGTTCTTACTCCTGTCAACTATTTTAAATACTAACTATAATCTCAATAATTGATCTAAAATCAATTAAGAACTAAAGATACTATTTATTTCAGCTTTCTTTTATAAGGCTCGTTCCTTTCATGGGCTTTTTGACCACTGTAGTTCATCTCTAATTCAAATCTAATTTAATCTACAACCAAAGGATTCAATGACCAGGCAATGGTGAGCAAATGACTCAGATACAAAAGTCATAAGGAAATACACACAGGTTTAGAATTGCATTTTTTATCACAATTTCATTGACAGGAATATTTTTCCTGGCACCTTTGGGTAGGAAATAAGTGAGCCTTGATTGGTCTAGTCACTGCACAGTTGTGACATGTTCTCTCCAAACCTGCCTTCCTGGCTATGTGCTGCAATGCAGGTCACACACAGCTGGTAAATACAGAAGAACTGTGTACAAAACCTGTTATTTTGAAGTTCCTAAACAAAACGTTCTGAAACCTCACTCAAGCATGCAAAGTACTCTAATGCCCAAACAAACCCATTTACCAGACACGTATTTACCCAGGTTGACCTTTAAATACCCAGTTACAGCACACGAAGGTCAAGCAAGTGGGCAAATTGTAAGGCAAAATGAACGTAGAGCAACAAAACGTTAATTCTTCTTATATTCACATTTAAAGTGTGCAGCTCAGGTCCTGCCTGACTTTTAAAAGCACAGGTCCAAGTACTTATGTCCTTTAACACAGAGGGTTTTTTTAACCCTTCCAGTAATGATGAACGTACACTCCTTTACTATTACAAATTCAGCAACTGTTAGCATGGCGGGGCCGGGGGAATACTTTACATTTCTGAATGAGTACTATATCACTATTCCTAGGTGTTCGGGACAGGATTCAGCTTGAGAACGGAACCAAAGGAACCATGAGGAAACGTATTGTAGCGCACGCGCCGCCCTGCGGAACTCTGGGACGATGACCTTATATACTGTATATAATCATCAGGTAATAACTTATTTACCTGCTGAAAGAGGTGTACATGGGTTGGTTCATATTTGAGAGACGGAGTAACCCATAGATTTAAAGTTTTCCAGTACCCAAAACCTGATTTTAAAATATACAGGTTCTACACCTTTGAAACCACATCATTTTGTTTGACAACTTAATCGGTGACTCCCAAAAGCACAGCTACTGAACTAGAACTAATGTCAAAATATTTTCGGATTATAGTTATTCGATTTATTTTCCAGGCGATCTTGAGTTTAATTCAATTACACACTGAATGGGACCGTAACTACACACACAACCACAAACAAAAACGTTTATTATGTCTCTTCTGTTGCTGCCAATATAAATATTTGACAGCTAATATTGTCAGTAGCAGATTTTACGAAGGTTTTTAGGGGAATGTGGTATTGACAGATTACTGTATGTATTTGTATCGATTTAATAATAATACTAATCTTCCTAATACAGTTAGAATGATCATTCTATCTACATACATTACTGCTATCTTATAGAATGTCAGGCTAAAATATACTGTATTTAAAAACGCACATTAAATGTTCCCTTGGATACATTGTAGACTTCGAGTCTATTTTTAGAGCCCCTTCCGCACTGGAATAAGCGTGCTTTTGCAATATGCAAAAACACTAGGAATGCTGATCTTTATTTAAACTAAGTAGAGGTAACTCCTAGTCACAGAAATCATAGAACAGGATTGTTTCTATAAAATGATTACCCCACAAAGAAGAGATCCTTTTAAATCTCAGGCTTTAGAGGTGAATTTAGGCCTTCAACTGAAGAGTTGTTTTATTTTAACCAATCGATTAAAACTTGCTTTTCGATATTTCGATATTTAAAATTGGTTCTGTCACTTTAAGGCAACCACCATTAACGTTAAATGAGTTTAGTTTTTGGGACTTGCAATGGTTTCGAGATCAAGGCTTTTTTGGGATTTTCCAGCGAGGCCTGGATCCTTTTTTGGATCTCTCTCCGGTTCACTCGTCCTTACGCCGAGTCTCTCCCTCCGCTCTCCTGTACCCGCTTTCTACAATTCTTTCTCCCTCCCGGCCATCTTCCCCCATCGCTCCCCCACCATGTTCCTCATAAGCACTCGCTCACCTTGGCCCCCGGGTCCCCTTTTCTCTCTCTCTCTCAGCCGCTGCCGGCTCCCAGTTCTCTGTCTCCAAGATGGCGGTGCTGGGCAACGAGCGAGTGTGTGAGCGCTGGGCCGGCAGCAGCAGAGAGGCGGCCACTTTCAGTAACTGAGAGAGCAGGGACACGGCGCCATGGCGAGGAGAGAGCAGGGAACAGGGCTAATAATCAAACACAGAACACATAGCAAGAGTGGTATAGACGCTTTTAAGTTAGTCCGAAACAATATTTTCAACACAAAGGCTTCCAACATAGATTGGACATAATAAAATAATGTACATAATGGAATGCTTTAATTTAAACACGTTTTCTAAACCTCTCCATCTATACTATCCAAACTCGATTGGTTCGGTCTGAAAATAACGAAGATTGCCGAACTGCGAATGACGTTGTTTAGAGGCAAAGTCTCCTTTCCCAACTTATTCTCGCGATAATTCGAACAATTCCGGAAATTGAATATTGAATTATTAAAAATTGCTTTCCGCCTTCAGATTGCTAGAAGTGTTCTGTAATTGATAAAGTCACAAACTATAAATCTTAATTTTACGTAGTCAGTTATAAAATATTCCTTCGTCCAACATAATCTTAGTAATTATACAATCATTTCACAACTTTAAACTAATCCAACTGCTACTGTAATTAACACATTTAAAGGATAAAAACATCAAAACAGATTTCGGTATATGACGGAAAAAGTTATTTTTAGTTATTTTTATACGGTATTCTAGTTTGAAAATGAATCTAAATGTCAACATCTGAACTTGTATTGTAATGGTGGATTTTGATTAACTGAAATAATAAACCCCTAAACTAATTTTAACCGTTAGAGGTTATTCCTTACCTCATTAATATTCATCTTCTAACATTTTTTTCCCTGATATTTGTTATGATTCACCTGTGTGCAAACTTTAAGAAATCTGTGTGTTGTGGTTTCAATATGTCAAAAAAACAAAGCCGAGCCCGAAATCATAACCATTGAACGTAAGTATTTCCGCACGAAGAATAGGAGTTTGGGAGAAAAAAAATGCCCGTTTCTTACTGTAACATTTTGTTTCCACCAACACGCTGGTGGAATAGTTAATTCAAAAAGGCTAAAAAAAGCAATACACGTAGTGCTATAAAGTATTTTACTACAACATTGTCGGTTTACGAGTACATTTAAAATACAAATTTAGTATCAGTTACACATGGGATTGACTCAGGAAGATGGGTAACTCCTTTACACAGAGAACATTCTCCCGTTTTAAAACCATTAAGGAAAGTACAATCAATACATCTGCTAGGGATAAAGAAAAAAATTACAACGGAATGCTGGACCTTTGAATTCGACCTCCCTAGTTTTACTCGCTTGGTATTGTACAGTATATTAAAAGAGAAAATTAAGTTAATGGGCGGCAATTTTCATTTACAATTTCTATTCAGCTGTAATCACAGAAAATGTTGCTTCAGTTTAGAGATTTAGCTGTATTCACATCCAATACTATATTTCTAATTTGCCTGCAATGTTACAGTTTTGAATTTGTGTACTTTTCCATTGTTTATTTATACTCACACATAAATACAGTTCAAGACCACATCCTGTAAAAGTTTTAATGAGTAGCATTAAGTCCTTTAAGACCTCATCTGAAATACAATTCAATGTTTAAGCAATTTCCACTTTCATTAGGTTTTTCAGAGGTGGTACTTATCAGCCAAAGCAAACGAATGCCTAAAGCCCATGAAACTGTGCAGCTCTCATAAATGAAACACTGGCAACTGGCAATAATACCATATCAACACTCTACAGTACACTAGTAAATATATCTCACCTCTTTTGTGTGCCACTTGCAGAACGGCGATAATCAAATGATTTGCGATAATCTGTAATCATAAACTACTTCATATAAAATGGCTATACAAATAAAACAAAGAAATGCTATCACCCTCTTACCATTTCTTAACTTTAACATTTTAGCACAAATATTTTTTTTCCATTTTAAAACTATACAAAATTGAAAGTGATGTAATAAGTCAATGGTCTCCAAAAATATACAGGATGTCTTGTTCTTTAAATCACATCAAGCTGAATGCCTTTCACAGTAGCCTTATAAGGCATGCGAAAGCCATTTGTAATATAATGTATGGATAACTGTGTAAAAGGAGTTGTAAATTATAACATTTATCGAAACGAGGGCTTTTGCTCATCAGAAAAATGAGGAATTCCCTTAAAATCTTTCACTTTTACTAAGCTGAGAAAAGTTATTACAGACTTAACACATAACTACAACCATTGCCAACAACACTAAAACTAAAGCAGTAAATCATTATGATTGTATTTCAAAAACATTTGGCAACACGTGTCTTAAAAAGTATCTCAAAATGTATCTTACTAAAAGCCTAGAATACACAAATACAAATCTCTGAAGGATGGTGTTCCTCTCTTTGTGCTGTGAATTGGGCACTCATTTTTTCAGATATTTTTGAAATTTCAAAAGAGACAAAATATTCTGTACACCTTTCAGGTTTGTACCTTTTTATCTGATGGTTTAAATTAAATAAGCTGCATCACAGAATACTTCCAAAGCTGCCTGGAAAATCACAAGTTTGTCATGATGAAAGTAGCTCTTTCTTTTTATGCTATGTAAATATTTTATACAACTGAAATAACCAAGCCACGTATCATAAAAACTTTAAATACAGACAACTGTAGGTTTGTAGAAGTCTGAGATATAACCTTTAATACTGCCAGTGATTCATTTAAGTATTAGTAATTATAATAACTGAATGAATCATTGGATACAAATCATATGGGCTACCTCCAGGTCATTTTATGTAAACATTCTGGTGGAAAATATATGCAGCATAGCTTCACCTAAAGTCCTGGAAAAAACAAGGTCTTGTGAATGAAGGACATATTAGTTTTAATTGGTTTAGTCTGCTTCAAAAAACATTACAGTGTCTTGCATGCCTTCATTAATTCGGCTTTCCATTAATACTAAAAATATATCTTTTAAATATCCTTCGAGTTAAAAGGTTCATAATCTTCCGAGGCATTGACAAAGTTAACTCATAGAGCTTCTTAAGAATTAACAGTCACGTCGAAGTGGAAACTACATGGATGCACACGCAAATCTCTAAACAGGAGCAACCTTACACAAAGGGTTGTGGGTGTATGGAACAAGCTACCCAACCATTCTGCTGTGACCTTATGGTTAACCTTATACTATCTGCCAAATGGACCAAATGGGCTCCTCCCATTAGTAATTTGTCTTTTGTTCTTAAAATAAAAATACAGTAGAAGGGCTGATTACCAAGATGCATCATGTTCTTTAATCGGCAAGGTGAATTAGTTTTAGAGTTTGCACATAACTTTGTTAAATTAAGTCTCCAAACATTATTTTCTAAAAATAGGGCTGGGAACAAAGTACATTTTATAAAATCAAAAGATCTTAAACAAAAAAACAAGGCTTGAGGCGTTGTTTTACAAAGAGTATGAAGCAATATGTATTAAAAAAAGTCAACTGAACATGTCCACATAAGATCAGATTTGTCTCATAATGAAAATACAATATTTAAAGGAGTAGTGCATCGCTTATAAGTAAGAGGTCACTCTGTAGGCAATAATTATTTCATCTTTGATCATAGATGTTAAGAATAGTAATGCAATAACAAGGATAGCAAAAATAACACTTTAAATCATATTCTGATCAGCTGTGGATTACTCACAGCATTAAACTAAATGCTTTAAAACTGGATTGGATTTAGTGGATCTGAATTTTGCCAGATGCTCATCCTACAACAAATCGGTCTTCGTATCTAAATTACAAGATACAAATGCAGGTCTGATTACAAACCACAGTCACTTCATACTGGTGGCACTCACAAATACATTTTAAGCATAAAAGAAATATTTGGAGTTGCATCGATTCAGATAAGCTAAGCATAAAATGGTGAACAGAATGAGGGCATTAATGGAACACTAAGGGAAAACCGCTACACTGAAACCTAAAGGATGCACTCCAAGGTTAAAACAGGTAAGGGAGCTATGCCAGTACCATTAGATGCAACAGCTAAACATTGTTAATAACATTCTTTTACAACTTCGGCTGAATTTACATGCAGTGCAGCAATAGCAGATTAGCTACTCCTGTTTAGCTGTCACCAAATACCAAGCAGAAAGGTAACTGACAAACTTTTACAGTGAGCTTTTCTTTTTCTCCAGTCTTTTAGCTATCCATTTCAAATCACACCCTTTTCCACTTTTTACAGCCAGCTTGATTTTTCGTCTTCATACTTTTGTGGGTCAATGAACGGCTTGTCAATGGATTTGATCATCAGCTCCCCACAGTACACGCACTCAGCAGCTATTATATCGTCAATGTCCGACTTGATCTGCTCTCGACTCGGCTGCCCTTTTCCAAGGCTAATGGTGTCCTCCTCCTTCTGCCGATGCCGGGCTTTGGTGGGCTGGCTCGTAGCCAACAGCTTTTTCTGGAGCTCCTCTAGTTTGGTTAGCTTGTAAGTGGACAGATGAGGGTTCACCTCTTGCAAGAGGCAGTCATAGTGAAACATGTGGCTGCAGAGGAAGAGGTAGAATGGGCGGTTGAGCAGGGGGAAATCGCAGGCGGCACATTTCTCCTGGGACTCCACCACACCATACTTGTTCCTCATCTCCTGGATGTCCTCTCGGATCCGCTTGGCGCTCTCTGTGGCTTCCTCCATCTCTTGTTTCAGCTCCTCAATGTGCTTGTTGTACTCCTCCAGGGAGTTGCAGATGGCCTCCTTGAAGTGGTCGATGGTGACGAAGTCAGGGAAGAAAGGCAAAATGTCCTCAATCTTCAGCAAATTGCAGCTGGACAGGCAGTTCATGGCTTTCTTGACATCTTTTTCCTCTTGAACCACATGACGGGCGATCTTCAACCAAAGTTTCTTCCTCAGCTCCTCATCGTCTTCTGGCAGATCTGCACATGACTTGGCCAGGTCTACATCCACCTACAAGTAAAAAAAAAAGAATAATTTGAATACTGTTCAACTAAAAGCAAATCAAACCAGCATTTAGTTTACCCTATGGTCTTTACACTTGGTAACTCGAGAATACAAAAAAAATTACAATGATTTTACATTACACGTGTATGTAATCCACCAAACTATTGTATAAATAAAACTTACACTTCTTTAAGAATTTCAGTCATACATGTATTCCAACATAATATTTATCCTGATGAATGATTCAAATAAAAACATTTATAACAAGTCCTTTATCCCCTCTGCAATAAAACTACTCAGTATGTAAATGTATTCCTCCCTCTACCTATTTATTTATCCATCTATTTATGTATCACATACTGTTGTGATTTCATGTGACTTTTTGTGACTCTTTGTTTTCCCTGTGTGTTTTGCACCTCTGTGGGAGAAGCCAAAGACAACTTTCCACAGCAGTGGACAATAAAGTATCTATCTATTCCGAGTATTTATCTGTATTTGATAAACACTACATGTTCTTACTCATGTTGACAAAATTAATGGATATAACTGTGGCTACAATCGTCCATTTACAACTAATTACCAAATGGTCTTAAAATGCAATGAATGAAAGAGTGTCATACTTGCAGTGCCAGATCCACAGCTTCTTCATAAAGTTCCATTATCTTATAAACGTGAACACAGGCCTGGCGATGGCCGTGCTCCGCAAACAGACGCAGAGCATACTTCAGATCATAGTGGATTTCACTAGAGTGAGTTCCAGCCTGCTCCAAATACCAGAGCAAACATTCAGGTTTGTATTTAGCATAAAGGGACAGGAGGTAGTTGTGGATTGCCTCCTCTGTCACAGTCACTTCATACACACAAAACTCCATGTAGCGTATGGTCTCGTTAATTTGCTCCGTGCTGCCAATCTGGCTGTAATTAACCAGAGCAGGGATGAGCTGCTTGGCATCTAGTTTTTTCCCCATCTTGATCCAAGCATCCACAACTTTTTTCGGGATGTGCTGCATGAGAACGGGAGAGAACTTATAGAACAGTTTCTCGTCTGCGTGCTTCGACAACACATCCAGTGCTGCCTCATAGTCATCATGCTGGCAGTAGTGGGAGACGACTCGTTCGTAGTCCTGCATGATGACGGAGAAGTACACCATGTCGTCTACATTACCATGGCTGGCCAACAGATCATATATGGTGGTTCTATTGTTGTACAGGCATTCTTTGTTTTTGGGACTGCTTAGGAACTTGCGGAACTCTTCTCTTGCTTCCAAGAAAGTGACACGTTTCAATTCATCTCCTTCAAGAATCCCCAGCCTGTTGAGGTACAGTTCAGTCAGCCATGTAACCAGCAGGGTGATTTGGGTCTTCTCACTGGACTTAAGGATACTGAGTTTCTTTATAAGGAACTCCTTGAGGGCTTCCTCCTGTTTGGCTTCAATGAATTTCAGTGCAATCTCTTCAAAATAGTTCTGTGTAAGGGCATAGCACTTTGCACTCTCCAGGTATTTCTTATTCTGGAAACAATGCTCTGCTTCTTTGGCCAAGACAATGTCCATACATTCAGGCCTATCCCTGCAGTACTCTTTAGCCCTGTCAAACTTGTTCATGCTCATGTACATTTGCCAGACATCTCGCGCCTCTCTTTGAATGTGATAGCGAAAAACCGCCTTTTCAGTGTATATCCACACCAGACTGCCCACGGGATCTTTAATCATCCTTTTCAATGGCCCAAATTTGTCCGGAAAGACATCTTCGTAAACAACCTGCCCATTCAAAGTGCAGACAGCCTTCACACGATCCGGCAGGAGAAGGAGAAAATGGAACTGTGTCAGGACAATTGATATGGGCTTGTTGAATTTGAAATCAATATCAGGGGTATATTCCCAAACCTCCACATCACTCAGCAGAGAATCGGGGCGTCCATAGTCCAGATTCCCATACAACACTCCATTCCCCATCATCCAGGCAAAGGATTTTGGGGAGGTGCGTAGCTTGGGGGTGTAAAATGCAATCTCGCTGTAGCCCATGCTTACTGGGAACTCCTGAAAGCTGGGAAAGTGGTCCTGATTTTGACTGAAAATAGAGCTGAAGCCCTGCTGCTCGGCACCTTCCGCTACCTTCCCTACAAACTGAAACAGGCGCTTGCGGGTGGTGGCAATGATAAAGTACTTTGATTCAAACCCGCGGTCAATCTCCAAGCAGCAAACAGGGGCCGGCTTGCCGTCTTCTTCCAACATGTGCACCTGTCGGAAATACTGGTCCGGGTTCGTGTTGAAAAGGCTTGCTCCTTCCGAAGCTGAAATTTCGGCCTCAAAGATCAGCCCCTGGGTAGTGCCAGCTAGGATGGGGCCCGTGTTGGTCTCTGTACCCAGTAGCTTGTTCCAAGCAATGCTCTCTATTAGGTGCCCCTTCCATCGAGACAAACTTCGCACTTTCTGGGTATTTCTGTTTAGGTAGAGGCACTCGCTTGACGTCAGACTGATCACCAGATGGGCACCTGCAGAAACAGTTTCAGTCAGCAAGGATTCTGTATTCCACCGCAAACAAAGGCATGTTAGCTACCAGATCCACTGTCTGCTACTGGCATTGCAGGATTATCAATTTGACTCATATATTTGAGTTTTCACAAAGATGATATATAATAGGGAAACAACTTAAAAAACAGAACTTTTAACATCTTTAGCAGGAAGCCCAAGTCCAGTCCAGGGACTGGGGATGCAAAACTCAGTAACCCCAAATGTAGCCTGGCTGTATGTATTGAATCAGTGGTAAGCCCTACTTTTGCACTTTGACAGTCACAGGATAATACATAAACTTGAATTACAAAAAAAACATATGACCATGTGCCAGTGAAATGTCAATTACACCAAATTGTAAAAGAGGATAATGCCAATTTAAATGACTACAGACTTCATGCTATTTACTTCCAGAGTTATATTCTATTGAACGTCTATGATGTGGTGTGACTTAAATTCACAATTTTTTTTTCAGCCTGATTGGTAGAACACACATCAAATTTCTATTTGTGCTGTTTAGGAAGCCACATGCAACAACATATCGAGTCTTTTATTAGCCAGTATCTACACACAACTATTGGTATGGCGAGCAAAATGATCTATTTACTGTTCCAAAGCTTCAAAACATCTGCACCATCAATATTCTACCAGATTTAAATATGCCAACATCTCTTCAATATAAGCCTCTGATACTTCTTACCTTGACAGGCAGACTTGGGTGTGATTAGATTTTGCAATCAAGTGACAATAGAATGAGGACAGAATGTAGACAATAGTAACCACATTCCTTTTAAATTCCTGTGAAACGAAGATAATGGGTGTGCGAAAGATCTTGCAATCTCAATATCACTTGTTTCACATTTTGAAAAGACGAGAAATGTGCAGTCACTGTGGTATGCTGTTGAAATTGGGTTAAAATAATGACTGTTTTACATACCTTCATGTCCAATAGACAATCCCATTTTCTTTATCAAACTAGGATTATGTGTGCAGCATACATATATAAATAAAAAAAGTCTTTAACCCAGAAGATGGCAAGTTACATAAAGCAACACACACTACAGCTTAAATAATTAAGTTTTTCATACTGTTTAGCAATTTCTCCTCCAAAAAAGTTTAAATGAATGTATTTCAGTGTTTTATATTTCATCTGCTTATTCAGTTTCATTTAGCTGCCAAATTCAGTCAGCTTTGTATTGGCAGCAACAATGACTGCTTTAATGAAAAAAAAAACCAAAATAGCAAAAAATAAATAATTGCACTTTCAGTATACTGAATTTAAACTTTGTATATGCAAATTAATTATGCAAGATTTGGGTGAAATACACTTAAATAACAACCCAAGCTGCTTTTTACCTGTAGGATCAAGGAAGAGTTTGTGTACTTTAGCTTCATCTTTACGTCCAAGTTCAACTTGATTAGGTTGATCAGGCTTCCCAAGATCAATCCTGCAACAAGATGATGTCAATATTCATTATGTGAGTAAGAAACATGAAGTTTGTCTTTATAGTAACAATGTTTTTGACACATTCAGATACACACCCAGGAAGCAACAATTGTGGAAACATTGATTTGGCCCTTAGATTGGACCTCAGTAGCAATTGTATCGTCAGAACGTCAAGCTGAGATACCAGCAACATAAACACTTAATATTTTATAACAGTACCTCAGCAAAGTGTCCTTCCCAAGACTCATACACAGTTGGTTATTACAGACTGCAAAATGGTTAATCTTCTCAGGAGGAGAGAAATCAATTCTTTGCTTGTTAAATATTGGCTTCTCTTCTTCCAACCTGGCATTCACAAATCCTAGAATAAAAATTAAACCAGAGTAAAGTTCCCAAAACCGTAGTATCCGACAGCAAAACAGATCTCTGTTCAATTGTTTCGATTGAAAAGACTGATGTTTCACTTCTGCCAGCTTGCCATCTGAACTGAATTAATTACAGTATAGATCACAATTTTGTCAGAATCTGAATAAGTGACACATGGACAACAAACTGCGAAAGACGTCATAAAACTACTGTCAAAGACCCTGGATAAAAGTCAAACTCAATATTAATATTAAGGAGTAAACAACCCAAAGGCTTCGTATCAACTAACAATCCTTGCCTGTTACATGCAAATTCACGTCTTGCTGAACGTAACCTCCATTTCTAAAGGCGTTCATGTTTACCATATTCATACGGATTTCATTTTAAATAAGAACAAGTCGAAAGGGAAACATGAACTGCTCTTCTCTTGTTACAGGCCCTTACCCCCGACTTTACCTGAATGAGTAATTCCGATGTTGGAGGCAGAGAGGCGGGTAGTTTTCTGCATGGAGTGTCGGATGCTCTGCGAATCCTCATACTCATCAAGTATTGAAGCCATGGATCTATTAATACAGGTCTTGAAATGAACAAAATGGTCAAATATCTACAAAGATCGTAATTGCACTACCATTTCTCGAGAGAGAGGTGTAAAAATGATTTCCTCTTTTCTCCGCGTTTAGTGGTATGCAAACAACAGTACTGACAGTTTGTGTTAGCAAATAATGGCCTCTGATTTAAAAAAAACTAATACCACATCCATACAATTCGTACAGTTCGGACAATATCGCTTTTAAACGCAAAAAATCGCTCCGAATTTCTGTGGTTGAACGACAGTGCAATTCAAATCAGCTGACCCCTTTCGTATCACATGATAGGGGTGACAACGATGAAGATGGAAGTCAAATGTTGCACAAGTTACACCACAGGAGGGCGCTGTTAGCTAATGTGATTATGATGATGGCCTACTTGACAATTAACTGGAGCTAAGTGCCTCAGTTGGATATTTATAAACGATTAAATATCCTCAATACAAACTTCGAAGGTCCAGATAAACACTTTAACTACAGATAAATTCTCTTCTTATAAAAGGAAGTTTTTTAAAGGAACAAGGAGTACTCATTTGCATCACAGACCCACATTTCCACCATTTAAAGCTGTGTCTACTTGAGTGATTTATTGGCACCAGGCCCACTACACTATTGACACTTTGTTGAAGCTAATTGAAAAATGAAACCCTATTGGAAACATACAAGAAAGCGAAGGCACTGTTGCAGCAGTAAATTCTGCGAGGGGCCCCGTGATGTAACCTGGTCATCTCGCTTATTTCCCTGTGCAATCAGGACTGTAAATCTGTAAGACGAATGACAACAAAAATCTCCACCTACATCTACCATAAACAAACTGTTTCAAAGTCTATTAAAATTGTTTCAGCGGTGTAATGTAAAATATACTTTTCAAAAAGACTGTAGCGCCAATTGTCTGGTTTGGGTAAACCTCCCACCGAGGCTCGTCTGTTAACTGCACCATAATCTTCCTGCTTCGGGGAGCGGCCATGCAAATTACGACTTGTTTGATCAGAAAGTTGGTACTAAAGGGACGGCGACAGGCGTGGGAGTGTCAGATCCCATTACACGGCAGGACAAAGAGGCACCAAGATTGTGTTTAACCGATGGTAGACAAGAGGAACACCCACCTCTCTGGAGTTACGCATCCATCCCAGGCGTCCAACCTCTGCTCAACAGTGCATACCCACTATACAACAACAGTAAATTGTACTGCACTGATTAAGAAATGCCACCGCAAATGGAATATCTCTGTGAAGAGAGCACATTGCCGGCTTTGCCCCCATCTCTGGACCGCCAGAGTCAGGAGCCCGAGGTGAAATGTGTGCTAGTTGGGGACGGCGCAGTCGGAAAAACCAGTCTTATTGTGAGCTACACAACCAACGGATACCCCATGGAATACCAACCGACTGCGTTTGACATCTTCTCGGGTAAGCAGCAACAGAGTGGCAGGTTCCAAAAGTCGTGCCAAGAAACTTAACCCGATATTAGATGAATGAAGTTCATTGGCCGTATCGTTGGGGTTTTTCTTTTGCATTGCCTCTGCCGAATTACTAAACGTCACTGACAATACATGATTTAATTAAATTATAAATTGTTTATGTGCTTTTTTGCTGCTAGTGTAGTTATTAGTTATTATTGTTTTCTGCGTACTTAATCTAGTCTGAAAGAAGGAGCGCTTGCTGTAGGAGTATACAGAGAAGGATACTGCAGCAAGCGATTGTACCTGGATTAAAAAAAAACATATGGTAAAGTTAATACAGGAGCCTGGGAGGGAGGTTTAGCCAAACCAGTTAAATCAATTATCTCTGCTCTCTTTTTGAAAAATGTGTTTTAGCGTTAAACCATAAATCTTCCATATATACCCTTGCCGAAAAAGCTATGTTTCTAATTAAGAACAAGTCTAATTTAATGAGCCATAATTGACTAAATACGTTCTGGTGCCTTATGAGATTATATTTATGGACTCAAGGTGAAGTTAGTCTCGTTGGATATGAGAGCGTTTAGAAAATGTTGGCTGCATCATGATGAAATACAACGTTCTCTGTAGTTTATCAGTTGCTAGGGGAGTTGTTTTCCCCAGTTCTCAGCTATACGTATTTTAAATGTTAGCATATTTTAAATTAAATGACCATGGTGTAAATTCTTTATTATTTTCTGGACTGTTCAAGCATTGCAGTTAACAGGAGGTGTGTGCGTAAAAACCTTTCAAAGGATTGGAATAACGTGCGCTTTTCTGTGTGCATCCTTTCACAGGACACGTGCAGGTCGATGGTACACCAGTACGAATCCAGCTCTGCGACACTGCAGGACAGGTATGAATCACTCTTGAATAATACAGATTAAGATTCCCTCCTCTTCAGTGGAGTATTACCGTTGTGTTTCTTGTGTATTCATTTTAAGACGCGCCATGGTAAAACAAACTTGTTCACCGCCTCGTCTTTTCGTTCTGTGTAATGGTTTAAAACTCCTTATTACTGAAAAGAGATGTATAATCCATCATACGTAACGAATTTCGAAACAAGCCATTCATTTCACAGAGGCATTCTTTCATTCGAGCATGACTGTTTAAAAGGAGATGGCAGTAAGATGTGAAATGAGGAGAGAGCCCTTTCATCCTGGAGCATGTGCTCTTAGGAACGGGCATTGGGCATTTAGAAACGCTACCTTAGATTATGAAATGCCCTTTATTACGGAGTGCTTTCACTCCCTAATATATAGCACGAACCTGCTCTGCTATGCACCTGAAAAACAAATACAAATGCAGAACTCCCTGAAATGAAAGACACTCCAAAAGCTCTTTACATATGGATAACCACATTATCCATCGCTGAAATGCAGTGTCAACCTGAGTACTTTTTTGGCAGTGTGTCCAGCAGGCTCGCTATACTTTTATTCCTCTTTGCTAATAATGGTAAAGTAATTACCTACTGACGTTTGATTATGTCACTAAAGAAGTTCAGATTCATGGGAAGGAAGGGATTATGTTTCCTTGTGTTACTCAGTACTCTTGCTGTAATTAATACTTCTGTGTATCATCTGGTGAGTCATCCAAGGCTTGAATCACTGTGAGATCACTGTAGTTTCCGTAACTGCAGAAACTAAGGTTTCTTGACATTAAGCAATTTACTTATTATATTACATTAAAAATATCTTTGAAATAAACTGAACTGCTTCACAGTTGTTGAAGAGAGAGTTATCACTCATGTCTGCCTTCTATAAACATCAAATGTATACATTGCAGATAAAATAGATAATAATTTGGACAAATTAGTAAGTCAATATGAAATCAGTTTTATTGACGGTACAACTTGTGGAGGAAATCGGTAAATGAGCAGCTGTTGTCTTTTTAAATACAAATATTACAATTTCAGAGTATGCATTTATTGTATATTCTTTTAAACCTTTGTATTTACACAAGACATGTGTCTTTATACATGGATATTTTTTCCTTCACTGTCCACTCCTCTTTATCACATTGGTGCAAAGTATGTTCATGAATTTAATATCCACCTTCATGTGCCATAGAAATTCATGTCTGTTTAATATGATGTAATACTTATTAGTATATCCATCCATTCAGTTTTGAAGCTGCTTTATCCAGTACAGGGTTGCAAGGGAAGTCATAGCCTCTCATTACTGCATATTCTAGATTTCTAATTTTTGTAGAAAAATTGTTTCCATACATAGATGTAGGGATATCCACTTCTGGGTGACTGGCTGTTGTCCTTATATGGCTCTGCTGTTTTTTGCTTACATGTGGGCCTTGGGGGCCCCCAGAGATGTATTTTTCTCCTCTGTGCCTGATGGTTACATTGTTACTCTGACGTATTAAACTACTTTACCTCCACTTACACTAATGTGGTATTATTTTATTGTATAGTCCATGTAAATAGCTGTGAAAGTGCACTTTTGACCACTTGCTGTGGTCAAAATAAAATTGAGTTGGTTTGCGATGCGTTCTAAATGCACCCACGTCCTGTGTTTTCCAGGAGGAGTTTGATCGACTTCGGACTCTCTGCTACACCGGTACAGACGTCTTCATTGTGTGCTTCAGTGTGGTCAACCCTACGTCTTTCCAGAACATAAGCGAGAAATGGATCCCGGAAATCCGGGCCTGCAACCCCTCGTCACCCATCATCCTTGTGGGAACCCAAGCTGACCTGAGGCATGACGTCAATGTGCTCATCAACCTGGATCAACGTAAAGTCAAACCGGTGCTTAAATCGTGCGCTAGAAATCTTGCGGAGAAGATCCGGGCCCAGGACTATGTGGAATGCTCTGCCTTGACTCAGAAAAACCTGAAGGAAGTCTTTGACTCGGCCATCTTCGCAGCGATCAAATACAAGGCCCGGCAGGAAAAGAAACTGAAAATGTCCACAGACCGCACAAAGACCTTTTCAAAATGTGGGTGGAAAAAGTTTTTCTGTTTTGTCTGACTTTAAAAGACCAAACTGGCTTGAATTAACTTATTACTGACTTGCAACGTCACACTGGACCCACAGCTGTGCCATGGGTCTTACCTAAAGGCAAGAGTGATGGATTGTGGGACTTGGGAGCCTGTGGCTCACTTCAACAGATTGCTTGCTTAGGTGAATGAAAATGTTTACACAGCATATTTTCCAATGCAAAAAAAGAGCTAACGAGACTGTTCTTTGATGTATCATTTTGCATTGGTTCCTGTTTGAGAAATGCACATCATGGATTTTAAAATGTAGCGAATCAAGGCTCTAGTTCAAAGGTCATGATATTATTATGTTATTTTATTAATGTAAAAAAGGTTACTGTAAAGCCTTAGGTGACAGAATGATCAAGATTCATCCAGACATTAAGTACTGAGGCCCTGTTTCCTTACACAGGTTGTCCTGGATATCTGTTGAGAGAATCTGTGGCTCTCCGAGGAGCTCTTTATGGAACCTAGCTAGGCTGGCTAGGGAAGAATTCTTCCGAATCTGATTGAGCACCCAAATACATCAAGCACCTACAATTGCAGCTAACAGCTCTAGTGTTAGATTTGGCACCTCCCTGAATGATTGCACTTTAAATTTTTAATTGGCTATACACCGGCTGTCCTTAAACTATTTAAAAAAAGAAAAAGACTAGAGCAAGCTTTTAAGGAGATTAATGGCCATAATTACATATGCAAAACATATTTACTCTTCTACTGTATGGGAAATGTTTCCACAAATATACTGCTAATTTCCTGTAACTGTGATTTAAACTACAAAATGCGTCTAAGGGTAATTTGGGGAATCTGTAAAAGATTATTGAGAATAATCTTGGAGATCTTCCGTGATTGTGTTATATTCTTCAGAAAAATATGGATCAGTGAAGAGAGAATGCAATCCACAAGTCGCAAACAAACCTTTGACAAGACCCTTTTAAACTGATTGTTATTCATTGACTTATTGCTCCCAATTGTGATCAAAATCTTTTATTGTTAAAGGATACTTATTTGTATGTTTTTGGATTTTTCTGAAGTACCCAGTTTTAGCTATTGACCTAATAGTTCAATCCTGTTCGAACGGCACGTTTTATTGCTTCTTGTGGAAGCTTTTAATTAAAAACAAGCCTTATTCTGAAATGCAACACTATTTGGTTATATAAATAGTTTTGCTTTTTTATTTCTTTAAACAAGAAGGTAATAGGTCTTTTTTTCCTCTTCATTGTAAAAGAACAAATCTTGATTTGTGGACTGTAGGGACTTGTCTGCAAAGAGATTTTTACTTTGATATTTGATATCTGTAGATAAGAGGAACAATACAATTCTATACTTTTAATGACATGTAATTTATCTACAAATGATAGTTTTATACAGCAAACTTTTCAGTTATAATTTTGCTCAATTCAGTCATTTTCAAATTTTTTACAAGTTTCATATTTAGAAGGTTCGTTTTTTATGAAGTGTTGGAAAATAAATTATTACATCTCCAGAAAGTCTCACTGTGTTGCTTGCTATAATGTAAATGTAAAAAAAAAAATCATCCAGTACATTTGGCAACTAAAGTTGTTTTCTTTTGCAACAAAGTTCTAAAATATTTGAGGAAAAAAAACCAATAGTACTTGTAATTTGTTACCAATGATAATAATCATTGTCAGACAAGATCAAGGAAATGTCATCTGACTAATTCAGATGTGAAATTTACAACTTTTCTGCCAAGAGCAATGTAAACATGGAGCCTGTATAACATTACATGCGTTTATGGAAGCTCGCATACATTCAGCAAAGAATGAAGGTCATGTAGTCTTAGAAAAAAGTAATCTAGAGTTAAGGGTAACACAAAGTGGACACTAGTAAAGAAGACTCCGTACACAGTACTGTATATAGAGAAATGTTTAAAGTAATATATTCAGAGTGCTTAAGTATCCATCTGTCCATTTTCAACCAATTCAGAGTCTTGGAGAGATGGAGCTCATCTCGGCCAGCACTGGGTGCAAGTTGGGATACACCCTGGACAGGCTGCTAGTCCATTGCAGGACACACACATAGTCACAGGCGTGCACAAATTCACAACGGGGCCAATTTTCCCAGGAGCCAAGTAACCTACCAGTGTGTCTTAGTAGGACATTGGGAGAAAACCAGAGTGACTGACGAAAACCCATGACGCCATAGGAAGACCCCACACAAACATCAATCAGATCGCACTCCTATTCTGGCTTTGAACGCAGGGTGCCAGCAATAATAATACTACTAATAATAGGAAACTTTATTTTTTTTTATAGTGCTGTGTAAATGTGGCTTCTTAAAGACCTTTACAAAAGGTATGTAATAAAAAATCAGTAGATGTGGGGGAGGTGGAATTGAGTAGGAAAGCAAAGCAGCACACAAAATCAATTAAATAGAAACCCTTCTTAAATAGAACATTCTGCCTCAGTTTAGAATTATTTTTCAAATTTATTTCTTGACATTTTAACCACACAGATAACCTCTCCATATGCTTTAAACCTTTTAAAAATTATGCTAACCAGTGCACCACCATGCCACACATGCTTAAAAATAATGTACTGTATATGGGAATACATTTATAAGGTAATTTGAAAAGGTTTAAAGTATATGGAAACGTTATCTGTGTGGTTAAAATTCAAGAAATACCACATTAAAAAAAATAATTCTATGTACTTGCAATCTTTCCTGATGTCTAAGAGCGGACTTTTTTATGTAACGTGGATTTTTATGTAACATGGATTATTGTGTATTCGAAATACACAATAATTCAAGATGCTGTTATTTTGCCAGACTAAAAATTCCAGGAAAAGAGGTAACAACTGCTTACCAAAGGTAGCATAAAGCTTATTGAAAATGAGCACTACACAGAATTGAATATTAATTAGCACTCCACAATAAATATGTTAGTGATATAAAATATGAAAAATGCCCTTAAAGAGCTTCCTAAAGTTTTATTTAAAACCCCCTAGAAAAGAACCAAGAATGTCTTTGTGCCTAGTTTGTGGCACAAATGAAGGAGTCAGGAGAATAACAACAGGAGATTTTATTGGTGAAAGTACTAATCCAACCATTGAAACTTCCTGATGAAAAAGCCTCAAATTAACAATTGTAGGGAACTCACAACTGGATACCAGTTGCAAGTGATGAAAGGAATTTAGGAGTGTTTCAGTGAAGTTGTTGTCTTTCTCTTCTTAAATGGGATAATTGGATTTAAACACCCCCCACATTACCTCTTTTTAGAGAACCATTAAGGAATGAATGTAGCATTGGTCAGTACAACATCACCTCTTCTAAAAACTGCAGTCTGAAGTTTCTGCAGTGACTACAGAGTTTATAACTGGTTATAAACTGCAGCTGTTTTATAGCTGGAGTTCCCATGGGGGTATGTTTGCTCATTTATACATGTAAAAAAAAAAGGATGAAACAAATCCTTTTGAATAAGTTATCAAGGGAAGAACAAAATCAAATGTTTTTTTATTGCCTTATATATATATAATCTCATACACATATCCAACTGAAGGCAGCCCAAGTACTGCTCTCATAAGAGCTTCTTTAGATTCAAGGTATAGCAATTTATAGCAACATAATTGTTCATTCTTAGTTAAGAGGGCTGAGATTAATTTTAGAATGGAAATGAAAAGATCACTCTTTCAGAGACTGAAAAAGATAATTGTTCTGGTGGGGTGTTGTAGTCATCCAAGATGACTAATTAATGCTTTATTGGTCCTAGGCTTTCAATCAGAAACAGGAAAAGGGCTCTGTGACTGGGTTATATAGATGCAAATTTAACTACATTTTCAACATACAAATGATCTTACCTACTATGATCCTGTAGTGACACAGAGTTTGCATATGTAAACTCTCTCGTGCACAGACCTACGTGACCAGACCAGAAAACACAAGAACCTAACAAGCAAAGTATACAGGTTGTGTGAACCATAATTGAAGTTAACAATAGTATTTGTTTTTTCCTTTTTTTCCTGAACATCCATCCATCCATTTTCTAACCTCTTTATCCAATGCAAGGTCTCATGGGAGCCAGAACCTAAAAGAGCCAATACTATTTACTTTGCTTCTGTACTCCAATATATACCCAAGAGAAGAGATTCCATATGAATGTAAACTAAAGCAGGCTGAAATGAGTCTGAGTGATTACTAACTTCCTTTTAACAAACAGATTCATTGTTTTTTAAAACTGCATTTTGACACCTGAGTAATTTCCATATAATACAAGACCACCCATAGGGGAAGAAGTTGAAACACTCCAGATGGGCCTGGCATAAAAGGATAGTTCCTGGTTTTGATAAGATTCCAAGGCCTGTGATCCACAGCCACATCAGAAAGAGTTATAGGACCTTCCACCTGATAAGTATGAAACAAAGTAGGCATGAAAATGAATTATTTTCCATCAAAAGAGGCAGAAAACTACAGACTCTCCTGAGAGGAGGACTCAGAGAAAAGAACTGACGTGCCTTTTGAGTTTCCGTGTTTTCCAAGGCTAAGGGCATGGCCGGTGTCTATGCCAGTGACATCACTTGCATTAATTTAGTAAACATGGTAATGAAGGCATCAAGCCTGTATTCTCACACCCTAACAAGTGGTGCCAGTTATACTGCACTACAAAACCAGAAAACCTTTTATTCAAACTGAACACATGTGAAGCAGAAAACAAAATAAATTAAGTGACCCTTTGTTTTTGTGAAACCAGGCATCTTTCTGTAGGCCAGTGCATGCAAAAGTGAGTGTAAAGCTAGAATCCCTAAACAAAAACAAAAGCAAAATCCTCATAAACGTATACCATTAGCATTCGGGACACAAGCCAGAATCATTGCCAGCACTGAACACTCACCTGTACATATTCTAGGCTGCACTGATAGCATGTTGACCTGGAAACAAGGCCACTCCATTACAGAATATTGTAATAGGTTGAAGGAACATGTACTGAATAGAAGAGGGACAGTTTGGAAAAGGGACAAGAGAACAGGAAATGATTTCTTGTAAAAGTACTGCCACACATTGCAAGTAGTAATGTTAAGACATGGGCAGATACAATAGAACACACATTGAGCAATAAAGGCTATCAGTCAGGTTTAGTTTCCCATGAATGGCGAGGAGTTTCTCTAGCTCTGTGGTTTTGGGCTTGGTTAACAATCAATTGTCTTAAAAATCTCCCAAGAGGAAGACCATTATTTTCCCAGGGCTCATGAGAAATGAGTTTTCTCTCTTTCTTGGCAGCGCTCCAGTTTCTGATTTTCTGAGTTTCAGTGATGTCATTTCTTGGCCAACTATATGAGAACCAACAGGTGTGTATTTTCCTCAGGGCATTTCTCTGTAAAGAAGCTTCTACCTGCACATGTAAATGAGCAAGAACAGTTATTGCTACAAGCAGTTTGGTCGTGGAAATGTTAATTTTGTATTTTGCCTAAAAAATCAAAATAAAAGATTGCAATTCTGTTCTCCAGTATTCCACCACTGGTTATTTTGAGACTTTACAAAGCATTATTTATTACTGAAGTTCATTGCTTTTCATATAAGGTTGCTAAACAGATCTTCTGACTTCTTGTGGTTATTAAAAATACTGTACCATCAAAGTCTTTGAACACTCACTGTTATGGCTAAATTCAAGTTCAGGCCTTCTTAGTCTGGCCAAAAAGCTCCCTGAGTGTTTAATCATTTCACCAAATTATCTGTCGTGCAATGAGCCATGGGCACAAAGTGCCTTTCGAACACTACTATGAAAGCACAAGGCTAGAGTGAATTCCCAGCATAGTATAAAGAAGGGGGATACTTTGGCAGGAAAATAAATTCCCAGGTACAGTATTAGCTAACCATTTTGTTCTTAGAAACTTGAATACTTATGATTGCACCCTACTTCTTTGAACATCCTCAGCAGACCCTCATACTGAATGTTTTAATTTTTGTGGATTAATGGGTCAGTTTACCCCATTAAAGAGTAAATTTATATATGCTACTAATCAGGGATGTGGTTAATTGATTGGAAATGCACACTCCAGAATAAACAATGGGAACAATATATAACATTATGTCAAGTACAGAAATGTCTCCAATCCAAGTGAAAGCCAGGTTTAAAATAATGAAATACTGAGTTTAACATAAAGTTCCATATAAGAGGATGCCATTTGGCCAATAAAGGTCATTTGATTGCTGGCAGGCAATTCATCAAAACATTTTTCCTAAGTGTTTCATGACAGAAGCCAGAGAATCAGCTTCAAAGCCTAGCTGGGTAGCTTGTTCATCCTCACTCCTCTTCTCAATCTTAAAAGTAATACAAAAGTACAGACAACTAGCAAAAACTACTGTGATTTGTAAGTCAACTAAAGGAGAAAAGAAACCCTAATATACTACAGTGTGACTGTAGATAATAAAATACACTGTTGTCCAAATTCTTACAGGGATTCACATATTAAACTTTAGTTAAAATACATTTATATTGTAGAATGTGCA